AACCTGCGCAAGACGCACTGAAAAGCAAGCCGCTGCAGCCGCCGCCGACCGGTAAGTCTCCTGCAAGGCAGGTTCAACACTCTTGGAGGGGGAAGTGGGCGGCAAATGGCTCGGTACCTCTACATGTAGAATAGCGGCACATCCCGAAGTTCATGGTGCATGAATTTCCCTTGCCACTGGCATCGCTCGCGCGGTTCGTGACCATGCACAACGCCAGATCGCCTATATGGTACATGCCCAGGGGCAGCGTTACCCGTGTCCCGCGCTGAAATGCTTCGCGTCCGTGTCAAGCACCTACATGCCTCACCTCCTTCGGGCATGGCGTTCTGTTGCCGTTCGTTGACCCGATCGTATTAGCAGAAAATAGGTATAGTACACAATTGAGCCCACGGATGGAGTTGCTACATACGCACACATCGACCTGGATACTGTCCAGTAATGAACGCTTGGGCATTGACATCTACTGAACATTGAACAGCGCTACTAAAAACCGTGCAGTGCGCCTCCAGTACCCTTGTCGCGTGTTCCCTCCCGTGCATGGCGTCGTCGAACGATGTCAAACCCTCAACCTCCGAGCCGTCTGCGGGGGCATCCAGTTGTCCGAGCACCCGGGGTTCGGGAAGCATCCGCAGTGACGGCAGTCCCATGGGCTGCCCCTCTTCCTGTTCTCGAGCTCCACTGCCGCGTTGCTCTCTTTCACCCGGTAGGTGCCGGTTTCACTGCACCCTACCTGTCCATGTTCCCGATCGAGGCAGTAGTCCGGTGTGTACCCGAATTTGGGGTCGCAGATGATGATGAATGGGTCTGGTGGGAACTGGAAAACAATTTCTGGATGAGCTGCAAGTACCATTGTGCGATAGCGGGAGTAGAGCGTTCGACCCAAAGAGCGATACCGCTATGTTATGTCAAGAGTTGGTCTGACGAATCGTTGTAGTCACGAGGTGACGACGCAACACCACGGGAGATGAGCCAGGAGGGGCGCTGGCATTTTATACGCGTGGTTCATGTCCTGGCGGACCGAACGACTTGAGCAAAGGGCGCCTGTTGCGTGTGGGACGAAAATGGAGGCTGCAAGCGTCAATTTGTCGATGTGTCACGGGCGAATTTTCGAGACGAAGCGCTAGAGTATTGAGGACAAAGCCCCCTAATAGTAGATATGTCTAGGACGATGACTATTAAATTACGTGTCTGTTATATCTGAGAGTATGCGCCGCGGGTCAGTGAGGTGATGCGAGAAGCATTGCAGCCTCAAGTGCGCGTCGTCACATCACATTGACCTTTATTAGAGACGTGCACGTTGACAACTTGAAACCACGCGTTGCACTGGATGCATGCCGTGACTTGCATCGCTTATTCCTACCAGAAAGGCGAGGTAATGCTATCTACCTGATGATTTCTCAACATGAACGTGGCGCTTTATCACATTCGGCAGGAACACAGATATCCACTGCATCCTGGTCGAGCAGCGTCGCCCGAGCCATTACATGCACGCGCCCGATTGCAAAGAACTGCGTTGATCAAATCAATTACATTTATATTACGCTACTTCAATCTCAGCCACTAAAAACCTTGAACTTCTCGAAGAAGGCGTGCATGGTGTCCGCAAACTCCTTCTCGTTCGTCTCGATCGCAAAGTGGCCCGCGTCCAGCAGCTTGACCTCGACCTTTTGCACGTCCCTCTTAAACGCCTCCGCGCCGGGCGCGACGAAGATGGTGTCGTTCTTGCCCCAGATGGCCAGGACCGGCACGCCGGACGTGCGGAAGTACTCGTGAAACGACTCGTACAGCGGCACGTTGGTGCGGTAGTCGTAGAAGAGGTCGAGCTGGATCTCCTTGTTGCCGGGCCGGTCCATGAGCGCCTGGTCGAGGGTCCACGCCTCGGGCTGGATCTTGGCGGCGTGCGGCGACCCGTCCGTGTACTGCCACTTGGTGACGCCGAGCTCGAGGGCGCCGCGCAGGGCGTCGCGGTCCTCCTGCGCGCCCGAGGCCCAGTACTTGCGCAGCGGGGCCCAGAACTCGGCGCCGAAGCCCTCCTCGTAGGTGTTGCCGTTCTGGCTCACGATGGCGGCCACCTTTTCCGGGTGCTTGAGCGCGAGGCGCAGGCCCGTCGGCGCGCCGTAGTCGAAGATGTAGATGGCGAAGCGGGCGAGGCCCAGCGCGGCGACGAAGGCGTCGATTGTGTCGGCGATGTTGGCGAATGTGTGCTTGTACGACGACGGCGTGGTGGTGAAGCCGAAGCCGGGCAGGTCGGGCGCGATGACGCGGTAGCCCTTGGAGGCGAGGAGGGGGATGAGATTGCGGAATTGATGTGATGAGGACGGGAAGCCATGGAGGAGGAGCACTGTGGGGGCTGTGGAGGTTGAAGGCCCGGCCTCGCGATAGAAGACGTTGGTGTCGTTGACCTTGACGGAAGCTACGGAAGCCATGATTGCAGCTGATGCGTCTTTCCAGTGGCTTCAATTATTGTAAGTCGCGAGCGTATAGTAGGTTCAGTTCAAGGCGATTGATGCACTTGGGGGTCGCATATGGGATTGATCTAGATGATGATGTAGATGTAGATCTGTGTCTTTATATACATGGACAGCCAGCCCGCCGGACAGTACGTTTGCGCCATGGCGTCTGCCGTCATGTCGTCAGAGGCCATTCATGGTGTTGTGGCTTTCTAAGCTGAGGCGTCCTCGCCTTGCCCTGTTCGGCATGTCCCAGCGAGGCGCCTTGCCGTTGACATGGCCGATTGGCAGCTTATTCATCGCCTGGCGCCTGCACGTTGGAATCAGCGGGAATTGCATCAGCGCACTTGATTCCGACGGCCAGCGCCTGTGGACGGACATTGGCTGATCATTCAGCTTCCGTTGCCGTGGTCCATCGGACAGGCGCCCAGGCGATCAAGATTGGCCCGGCAAACGATAGATCCCAGGGTACTTCGTAGACACCGAAAACTACCGGCCAGGTGGCTACCTAGTTACTTCGTTGCTGACAATTGCATTGCATCGAGACCAAAACGGTCGACGGACGACAAGGTTGAAACACGGCACGTAGTGCTGATGCCGGCAGCGCCGTTGACGCACCGTGTCGCGCGCAGGGCGAAGCGCGAGGCTCGGGATGCGACCCTAACCATCAAATCGCCAAGTCAGGCGTCTGCAATTGAACAGCTACAGACAGGCCATCACGGTACCGACGGCATCGCTCGGTCTTGAGATGGACCGGGATGTACTCAACTGTTGGCGATATGCTCTTGACAGATTGTAGAGGGAGCTCCGTCTCGCCAAGCAGGCACCAAACATCATCAATGATGCCTTGCTTTTATTGTGACCTCGCAATTGCTGGGGCCCTAAGCATTGAGAATTTGCAGGTCAAAAAAATGCAACATCGCTATCAAGGCCCGCAGTCCATCGGTGCGACGGTTTATCCCCTGCCACAATTTGATGTTTGATGTTACGACGTTCATAGCTGGGCATGGCAGCTTTCATCCCTCAGCTACGGCGGCAAGGGCTATGGTGATCCTGAGAGCTCCAGCACTGAACCACCCCCCCCCCCCGGGGGACGCTAAACTAAAACAGGGCATTTTCGAGCATCTTCAGGCTCAAATCTACAGCGACTCAGCGGCATCACCCAGTGAGCTTGCAAAAGGTCTTGATGGGAAGTGTACACTCGCTTCTCACCTTATGAGGATATTTTGACTCAGTCGACATGGTCACGCCTCTATTCATACATGTATAAAGACGGGCGTCGATGCGCATTGTGACGGAATCCCTACATGTACTGTTGGTCCACCAACGACTTACACCAGAATCGCCCCACGCACCTTGGTCAAGCATCGACAGAGCAGGCATGGAAACTAATCCAGCTCCCCGCACTCTTCACCTCTACTACCGCGATGGCCACCACCGGGTCGAGGTCACCGATTGCGACAAGGCCACGGTCCTGTACGTGTGCTACCGCACGAGCTCCAAGCCGCACCTAACCATCTGCCGGGCCCCTTCGCGCGACAAGCCCGAGACCATGGTCGGCCAAGTCTCTTTCCATCACTTCAAGTCGGATATCGACGTGCGCATGCCGCTGAATCCGGGCGCCTCCATGCGCAAAACAGGCTGGATCTCGAGCGCCTACGAGGTGACGTCCCCGGCACAAGGGGGTGAGCTGTGGACGTGGGAGCGCGACGGCGCCATGACGAGCAACCTCAAGCTGGTAGATGGCAGGGGCGCGATACTTGCCACTTTTGACAACGCGTCGTGGTCACGCAAGAAGCAGGGCACAATTACGGTGAATTCGTGGATGCCGGCGCCGGCAGTGCTGGATGTGATGATTGTGACTGGCATGGCCAAGGTGGAATACCAACGGAGGAGCCAAAAGGCGCACAATGGAGCGGTTGCTGCAGCGAACAGCGGACATTGAGCGGCGCAGCTTCATCTTCCGTGTAGCTCATGTTGCTTTCACAAACGTCCGTATTCTTTCCGTCGCTTAGAATGCAACGTACATTTCGAACGACGACTTTGGATGAGTGGGTTTAGTCAACGCGCCTTTTTGTGCGTCAGGGTTCTTGGTATTTGTCCTGTCCCGTGTAAGTGCAACAGCCAACATTGCATTCATGCGTTGCAGCATTCGTATCTCGTCCTCACCAGGAGGCAGTGGTCTGTACTCTACAAACAGAAAAGCAGAAGGAAACACGACGACTGGATCGACAGCCTGACCAGTGTTTTTCTGCCCAACAGGTCCAGGGTAATGATCCCCTCGGTCTGGAGTCTGGACCCCGAGACCCTGGACATGCGAGTCCCACTTGGTGGTGAAGGTATCCACGCCCCCCCCCCAGTTGAGCTTTGCCCACAACGCGCGAAATTCACACCAAATTCACCCACGAAAATCTGCACCGCAATCTTATGAGCCCCGTCTCTATCAGAAGAGAATCCGCAAAGCCCTGCCTCTCGACGGAGAGAGCCCACAGGCGCATCCATAGGACGCATTTGCTCGCCTGTTTCCCAACAAGGACAAGCACGAGTCATGGTTCCATAGCTCAGTTGGTCTAGAGCGTCAGCCTAATAAGCTGAAGGTCGAGGGTTCGATCCCCTTTGGGACCAAGTGTTTCTTCTTTTTGTGCCTGGGATGTGATAATTCCACCAGACCTCCCTGACCTATCTTTTGCTCGTTGAAGATGGTCTGTGCTGGTGTTTTCTAGAAAAGGGTGGCTCGCCGCGTCACAGTTCTTTTTTTTAGCCTTAAACTCGCATAGAGTCTGGTCCCATGTAAGCCACTCTGGGTCAAAACCTACTAGTGTCAGCATTCATGAGTCCAATGTTCTCGTGCATGGACTCCGCCTCGGCCTTCCCCGGTGCGAAGGTTCCCTTCAGTGATAGAGGGGTTGATACTTTTCTGAACCAAGAGTCGCGATCTCGAACGTCGAGGGATACAGCAGTCCCGCTCACACACGAGAAGCTTGCGGTTCCTTGGAAAGTGGTCCTTGGGTTGATGGTATAATTGTCATATAGCCAGGCTATGTTTGTAGTTGTTTTATTGAACCCTAAACATAACCCTAAACATGCTCCTGTGAATGACAGCAGGTGCAGAACTGTACCATGTGTAAGACCAATTGACCCAAGAATTCGCCTTGTTGTACACCGTGAACGAAAAAAAAAACCCCCCATTTGATCCCGGACTGCCCGACCATCCCGATGACTCCATGCTAATTGTGGTAAACTAATGGCCCCCTATCCCTCCTGTCTCGCCTCAATCCATCCATTCGTTTAGAGCCGGATTTTTTTGCGCGGTGTCTTGCCTCTCCATGGCGGGTGAGTTCCGCCCGCTGACGGTTCCATCGATGTCCTTTCGCAATATGTACTTGTCGAACATGGGCTTTATCCCTGGTATAGATAAGGTAATAAGTGTTGCGCTTATTTCAGCAACCTCCACGCAAAGTATTTTCAGGAAGGTAAAGGTGTACTCTTGCGCCGTAGCACCTGCAGACGAAATCAGCGTTAATCACCCGACACTCACGCTACATGTATACATATAGCAAGTGTGCACTTACGTCCGTCCCAGACGACCAGCACAACTCGGGCCACAGAGATGCCCGTGACGCTATCCCATGTTAGCGAGACTCGACTAGACCGGCGGGCCTCGTGTCGGGTCATGTCACTCACAAGACACCCGGTAGGAGTATGCAAGCAAGCTGGATCTTCTTCTTCCGGGACGACTTCAAGACCCAGAGCATTGCTGCCGGGATGCCGAACAGAAGGAGGTCGCAGGCCAGAGAAATGGCCGACACGATGACGGCCACAGTAGTCCATTCCATGCACTTGTAGATGCCGGGGTACGGTCTCCAGAGCAGTGACAGGGGCCAGCAATGGAAGAAGACGACCAAAACCTGCGCGACGAATCCGACGGTCAAGAGCCCGAAAAACACCTTTATGCAGACGAGGAACTCTTGGTGCAGGCTGCACATTCGGTAGTAGAAGGCAAGGCCGGATATTCGGCAAAGCCACAGCGAGGTGCTATAGATCAAATGGGCGGCGGTATCGGTGACCTCAATGGTGACGAACTGGGCTTCGGTACCGAAGAATGCCATAAATTCGGGATGTCGTGCCATACCGAGGGCAATGATGTATAAGCACGAAGCCACAAACGGCATCAGGGTCGCCTTTTCTCATGAGCATCAGTGGTCAGCTTCAGCGCCAATTCTCCCCACGTTTCACCTCAGTGTGTTGTCACGGCTCGACTCACCAGCGAAGCTAGCGCAAGTCCATCGTCGAGACCAACGCCGAAGCGTTTGATGACGTATCTCCGCGAAATCAGCCTGAGGGCGACTGCGAGGATCGCCAGGACCGTAAAGAGGCCAATGATGACTATCGAAGGGGCCTCATAGTTCGCTCGAAGGTCTTTGGCAGTAACACCAGGAGGCACATGTCCGGAAGAAACGAGGTACTCGGCCCACTGGTCGTCGTCCACATGCATCCTCGCGGTTCAGTTGAGTCCAGGATTGATGTCGAATCAAAGCAGCATAGTGGTGGCATGTGAGTTGAGGTCGAAAGATACGTTGCAAGGTCAAATTGATGTGTCGGCAGAAGTATGACGGAGTGCGTACATGTAGGAGAATCGCGGCGGCGGTCTGTCTTTCCATATACTCCCTTCGAGTTGATGGCGATCTGCAACGCCTGGCAATGACTCGTACAGTCGCGGCACTGCTACTGATCGTCTCAGAACGCGTGTTATCTCCCATCACTACAGTACTGCTCTCTGCATACTGAAAGCATGTTCCATTTAGAGTTTTGTCGTAGGAACCCAGCGGAACCTGTGGTTGGGCATCGCGCCTGCTGTGGGTTTCATGTTCGTCGCACCAAGGCGACCATAATCTATGCCATGCACTGGCCTCTCTAGCTGCGCTTCGGCTTGTTCGACCTGTCGAGTTCCGAGCGCGGGTGGGTTGCCAACAGGGGCCTCGCCCCTCCGAATCTGTGCCGCAGCCGCGCCCAGCTGTCGCGAGATTCGATGCGCCGACTCTTGTTCTTTCATACGGAACGTCATCTCATACCTGCCAGGTCGCAGGCAAGTGCAACGTAACGTTGGCGAAGGCCCCTAGGCGCTGGAGGACCGTAGGACAGTTCCGAGGCGAGTCAGCTGCAATCCGCGGATGCTTGGGCAATTTGCTGAACTTTGCGGACCTGCGGCGTGGGGGGGGGGGGGTCTCTGCCCGCAAGCTCATCGGAATATTCATGAGCTCTCCAGGCTATCGGCAGCATTGGTGCCTGTACCTGTGCCTGTTCCGTCACTAGGTCTCTGTGTGAGTGCGTGCGGTATTGGACTATGTACCACCGCCACTCGTTCGCCGGCGTCTGCATGGCATGGCACACGAATAGGGCAATGGCCGAGGCAGCCAGCACGACTATTCGTAGACACAGCGGCGCAAGCCCAGCGTACAGCTGTACTTCGTATCGCCGTGCCATTTGCCGTGCGGCTCTGGAGTCTGAATGAGCGACAAAACATTCATGGCGGTAACGGTGCTGAAACACAAACCGGGTGGTGTATTCCCGCTCTGCGGCGCTACGCTACCTGCAAACGCGCTCCGTCAGCACGGAGACGGCGATGTTGGGGGCGCGTATGTGAGAGTGAGCACCGAGGAGTCAGAACTCGGGAGTTGGGCGTTGGTCAGCCCAGGTGAGACGCGCGGCTCGCATCAATCCCGATTCCTTAATCTGGACAGGGCAGGCGCGGCCGCGTTCCCGAACCCTGAACCTTCAACACCAACCACACCCGTCGCGATCGCAACATGCTTGCGGCCCTAGTCATTGTTGTGACGGCTTGCGCCTTCGATGCGTCTGCCAATGGCCGGGCCCCCATCACGCCCGACCGCGAAAGCGCCGCCGCCAACGCGTTCCACATCCTCAATGCCGTCCACTCCGCTGGTCGACAATGGGGCGCCGCCTTGAACCACAACGGCTTCGGCTTCTTCCCGGCCGTCATGCCCAAGGGCACGCTCCTATACCACGGCGCCCCAGTCCCGACCCGCCGCCCGGCCCGGAGTGGCTCGCCTTGGAGATGGAGCACTCGGAGCTCTTTGCGCAGTCGTGGCAGGACGACGACGACGACGACGACGACGACGACGAGGAGGAGGAGTCGCACAAGACGAGGGCCCTGCGCAGGAATCGGAATCGTCGCGGCTACTTCCACACGTACCGCGCCAATCGGGACCTGAAACTACTCTACATCGACGGCATGGCGGCCGCCAAATCGCGTTTCGGGCCCCTCGACTCGCAGGACCTCGTGCTGCGCGAGAACAAGACGGGCCCCTTTGACGACTACATGGACGAGCCTGGGCGCGCGCGTGACATCTGCCGCTTTGTCGCAGACGTCGGCATGGATGGTTTCGTCCGCGTGGAGATTGGGTTCGAGGTTGTGTACTGCGACTTCTTCGACAGCGGGCTGGACCTCTTGACTGTGACGCGGTCCTTTATGCCGCACGACACCATGACCAAGGTGGAACGCATCCTCTTGTATCAGATGGCGCGGGCGGCGAGCCGCGAGTACGACGGCCTGGGCGCCGGCCGCCTGCGCCTCGACTTTTCGTCCATGGTCTCGGGCTTTTTCTTCCCCATTAATGTATCCAGCACAAATCCCGCCCGGCCTGACCTGGTTCGACTTGGCGCCGCGAGTCTGGATGAGCTTGTGGACGTGAAGCGCCATCTACGTCAAGTATGCCTCCAGCCTAGGAGGTTCACCGTCGACTGGCAGGGTATTGTCGACGCTCTCATCAACCGATATGCAGATAGGCTGGCGGCCCTGGCGTCGGACAAGCTATCGGCAGAATTCTTCATCGGCGAGTTGGAACGGGCGACTCTGGTACACGTCGATGCGCCGGCTCTGCCTGGGGATCTCCAGGACAGGAACAGAACGGCTGAGGCAGTCGATCGGTGTGCACAACATCATCTGCTCCCCGCCCTTGCCCACAAGGCCTCATGGAGTCTGGCTGATGAGCTCGTGTACGTTGCCGTCGAAGCTGTCACGCACGACGTTTGTCAAACGCTCTTTGAATCCCTCTCTGCCCTACAACGCTCTCGGGCGATCGGTAGCGTCGCTAGTCGCAACGACGCCATCGATCGCAGCCGCCGTGCCTTTGCCCGTCTCATGGATCGGCTGGCTTGGACAGAGTGGAAGAAGCCGCGGCGATGTCCCGTCGACCAGGTGTCCTTTGTCGCCATGTACCCATTCGGCAACGACAAGGACCACTGGAACCCCGGGTGTCGGTCGGTGGAAGACCTGGTGGGCTTCAACAGGCATGGATACTGGGACGAAGACTTCCTCCCAGCGCCGGGAAATGACACCGATGAGGAGCTTACTGAGCTGTAAAAGCCCGAATGCCAACACTCACACTTGGTCATCTCGCACCTGGGTGGTGTGAGCAATCGACCGAACTCCACAGTTCCCTCAACTTGGCCATGGCTGATATACCCGAAGAGCCGATCCGGCTGGCAATGGCGAGGCGGAGCCGAACAAGGGATCCCAGGAACTCGTCTATTACTTCCCAGCGGCGGCACTTGCTCCCCCGCACGCACGCGCGGAGTAAACTTGCGCGCGGACCAGACTTGTT